GAGTCGGGCACTGCAGCCCTGCTCGCTTCTGCTTCCACAGGTGGAGATACCACAACCCACCAAATTGTCACAGAGACCCCTCAGGTTATCAAAAGCAGCCTTGGCCAGTTTGTGGTGCTTCAACAAAACCAGGTTTGTCTATTAACTTTATATATATGTGCCTTTAACAAGATGCAGATGAATGTATTAGAACAATGGGTCAAAAACAAGAAGAATAGAGTCCAATTTACATGATATTCATCAGTGTTCAAATTAAGAATATAGTTTTCTCTAGAGGAGACCTCCTGGTGGGCGGGGTTATATTCAGGGAGTTGACCTGAGTCTCTGTTTTTTGAGTTGGATTGTGCAAGTAATAGGTCTTATAACCAGTCTCTTGGTGAAGTCATTGTATGGCCACATGGTCTGCCAACTGTGCTCCATGATCTGTTTCAAGGACTTCTTGCAAAAAGCATTAGTACTCTGAGGCATAGGATTAAGTCCTGGATGCACTAGCAGCAGAATCAATGATATCATGGTATATGTCTTTACCATGATAATGCTGGGAGCAGATACCAGTGGCCAGAAAGTCAATCTCTTCTTGTTTTAGTTATCATCATCATCCATCATTATCATCCATTACCATCATCATCATCCATCATCATCATCATCATCATCATCCATTACCATCGTCATCATCCATTACCATCATCATCCATCATCATCATCATCCATTACCATCATCATCATCCATCATCATCATCATCCATTAACATCATCATCCATTATCATCATCATCCATCTTCATCATCCATCATCATCATCCACCATCATCATCCATCATCATCATCCACCATCATCATCCATCATCCATCATCATTATCATCCATCATCATTGATGCTTGTTTTATTTATCTCTCTTAACCCATTTTTTGCACTACAGAATTCACTATCTTTGGGGTCAATGAACAACCGCATCATAACGTCTGGAGGACAAGTAGTGACGACTATGTCAGGCCTTGGGAACAGCAACAGCAACAAACCAGTTGTAGTTAATGCAGCACAGCTCGGTGGTGCTCTTAGACAACAGATAGTGGTGACACAGCCAGCTACTGTCCCTCAGCAAGTTCGCACTGTCCAGGTCAAACAGCCTCAGCAGACACAATCACACAATAGTGGAGTAAGTAATAATGATAATGATAATTAATAAAAATCTACTCCTGAATTTTCAAACTTTGTTGCAGCTCTTTATACAATGTGCCCCCTCCCCCCCCAAAAAAAAAAAAATTCTCTAATATAATTCTAAATGTAGGTATCTACAGAATATTAGGAAGAATTTTATAGAAAAATAATGAGATACATTTTATTTTTCTTATAAAATAAATAAAGGATTTTAAATTAACAGCATTTTTTTTTAGTTTACTTTAGTTTGCTTTTTCACCCATTGTTGGAAGTAGTATATAAAGTATTTGATGAAGCTTATTAACTGACTCTTTGATAACTAAACTAAAGATTGTAAACAAAATGACAAAGAAAATCTACTGTAGGTATTGCATGTGCCCATCATCAGTGGGTTGAAGTTGCTGTATAATGGGAAAATATTGACTTGAACATCAAATGCTGTTTACTGTGTTTTGGCATCTGCTATTTTTCTTTTCTTTTATTTGCTTTTAGAAAAGAAAAGGCTACTTTACAACTTTCAGGAAATTGTTATATGATATGGTTTATAATTCTTCTGAAATAATCTTCGACAGACAGTCACTAAGGTGATCATCACAAGTCAGGCAGGAGGCAGCTTTGGCAGCCTTGGAGGACAACAGGTCCGCCTGGTCACCAGTCAGAGTGGTACAGGTGGAAGCACCCAGATGGTTCCATCTCCCACCAAATTTACACTCCAGCAAGCACAACAAATGGGACTCATTTCACCTTCAAAAACAGTGAGCCAGTCTCCAAACAAGGTAAGTAGAGAGTGTGCCTAGTATTTTTCCATTTCCTATCTTACTCAGTGCATTGATTTCAGTTATTATATTTCCCAGAAATTGCTTTGAATGCTTTCTTGCTTTTTTAGTAAGGAGGAGTATCTCAATGGCTAAACTGTAACATTTTCCCTGCTATGCATCTCTTATCATCAGTTATGAGACAGAAATTACAACGAGGCTACTGGTTTATTTGTAGGGTCCTTAAAATAACTGCAGTTTACTGCTTGGAGTACATAAATTCTCAAGACTAGTTACTGGAAAGTTCTGTATAAAGTCTAAGTTTACCTGTCTCTGGATTTTAGAATTTTTATATTGTGTGTCTATTATCATTTGGATATATATAAAGGGGAGATGGAAACAGTTATCTGATTAGGAAAAAAGGATATAAAGTTAATTTTGTCATATGTGAGTTAGGGGATCTAATAAATTCTGGCTACATTTCATAAAACTTTTTGTAATAATATAAAATGTTTTCTCATTCAAAAGCTAGTTTCACATATATTATATTTTTTTCATATTGTGCTTTACATGATATATTTTCTTCT